AGCAGAATTTGTCAAATGCCTTCTGAACTGTTCATTTAGGTCTTTAGACACTCCAATATCCTGTGGACAGACTGCTACAATTATAATGTTATATAATTTTGATAAATATTGATAGAAAATATAAAAATAATCGCCTGCAAAAAATTAAAGCAAATGAGGAATATAAATGTGTAATATAATGTAAATTAAAGAGAAAAAAATATTACAGTAGAGTACAGTACCTGAAACATTCGTTGCAGTTTTGAAGTGTATTCAAATCCACAAGCTTGTTTCAATTTAGAAATCATAGAAGCTTCTGCATCATCACTAGCAGACATGTGCTGTACCAATCGCTTTGCTAGCATTTTACTATAGAATTTTTGAAACACATCTTTGTCTTCTATATATTTAAAAACCACCATCTGCAATCGTAAAAATATTTTACTAAATAAAAATTTGCTTTTACCGTGTTATTTTCTTAAATATTTACTCACAACTTGATTCAGTGTATCTTCAAGCTCTGCTTCTTCAGGATTTTTACTACTTTTTTTTAATAACAGGTCACAATATTTTGCTAATAATTCTGGTGATTTACTGCTGCTATTTGCTGCTCTAGTTACTGAATTACTGTTTATAAATCTCCCACAAGCCTTGTCAAGAGCTGCCACAAAACCACTGTCATTACTAAATGCAACAAGTACTAAAGCATTATACTTTTTATGAACCTCCAAAATTGTGTTTACATAAACCTTTGGATCCTAAAACATATTATATCTATATTAACCCAAACTGCAATCATTTGATAAATGATTAATAAACTTACGTTAGCTGCAGAATCACCACATTTATCAATAGCTCCGAGTCCTTGATTAGCTATATGACCCTCTAAAAGATTTCGCAATTCTCCAAGACCATTTGGAATTCTTGCTACTAACTGATACATACGACCTAAGTCTGTGTTTTTATCAGCATCCAAGAGATTTTGAAATTCAGAGTGAAAAATGTCTAAATGTTTCTCAATTAATACCCTCTCACATGTTTTTGCTAATTTTTCATGGGTTGTTTGATGCAAATATACCTGAACCCGTTTTTGTTCTTCAAATAACCTTTGTTCTGCCTAAAATAAAATAGTATTCATAAACAGTATTTATAGAAAATTTGATAACATAGCAAAATTTTATTTTGAAACCTTTTTCATATATTCTGTAACTGGATTTTGCCGAAGGAACTCTGAACTTTCTCGAGTGTAAAACCTTTCTGTATCTTCAAGAAAGATATTTTCAAAAGAATCTTTATATACAGTAAGATTCTGTCCTTTAGCACCAGGGTCTTCCTCATTCAAACCTAATTCTACATAACAATTGATAACACCACTGACTAAACGTGTATTTATTGTTTCTCCATTGCGTTCTCGCTCAATTAATTTAAGTACTGCATTAGTAACCTAAAGTGTATTATATTCTAGAGTTTATTCCCATTTCATATAATTTATTTCTAATCATTAAATTAAATCACTTACTTGTCTATTTAAATGCCTGAATAAGTTATCTCGCCATGTAACCAAAGCTGATTGATAAACTTCATATATTCCTCTACGGCCCTCTTCGCATTCTCTACGTACCCAATGTCGATTTAAATATGAGCATACACCGTTCAATACTTTACTACTAAACTGGTACTCTTCCCATTGTCTTGTATAGAACTGTAATACATCTTCATCCATCAAGTCAATTCCATGCTACATAAAAGTACCAAATTAAAGAATTCAGTATTGTAGTTTCAAGTCAACAAATGATGGTAATCAGTAAAATAAAGAAATCACCTTTAATAAACTTATAAGATAATTTCTAAGAAAGTCACGTAAACGTTTATATAACTCCAAACCAACTAACTGTGCACCTCCTTGAAAAACTTGTCCTTTCTTACTTTTGGTCGATGTTCTAGTTAAATGTTGATGAACACTTGTGCAATAATTATATACATGTCTGTTGAGTTATGTAATGTAATGTAAGGAAGTTAATAGAATATAAACAATTATTTTATTCTTATAATTTCATTTCTTTTTTGTATAATTCTTAAATTACAAAGGATACGTGTACAACTCTATATATCTTGGTTTAGACATACACTGTCTGTTGTAAACTTGTTCAATACCTTCACGAAGATCTCCCCAAATTTGATCTAAATCTATTGGCTTAAGGCCTGCTGGGACTCCATGATGACTCCCACCTCCTCCTCCGCCTCTATGCCCTGACATCCTATTTCTATACGCTTGTCGAGTGAGCGTCACTGTTACTACTGTCTACTATAATTTCTGTAAAAAAAATGTAAAAGAACATTCTATGCTTAATCTGAAGTGCAATTGAAATAAATTTTATAGAAATTGGAAAGGCTAATACAATAAAGTAAACATTAAATAATCAACACTACAATTTTACATTTGCACCTACAAACATATGTAATGCAAATTTCACTGAAGCATTTTTTGATGACTAAATGATAATGACAATGACAATGATGATGATAAATGATAATAATAATATAATAGTAGCAGTAGCAGTAGCAGTAGCAGTAGCAGTAGCAGTAGCAGTAGCAGTAGCAGTAGCAGTATCAGTATCAGTAGCAGTAGCAATAGCAGTAGCAGTAGCAGTAGCAGTAGCAGTAGCAGTAGCAGTAGCAGCAGGAGTAGCAGTAGCAATAGCAGCAGCAGTATCAGCAGCAGGAGCAGCAACAGTAGCAGTAGCAACAGCAGTAGCAGTAGCAGTAGCAGTAGCAGTAGCAGTAGCAGAAGCAGTAGCAGTAGCAGTAGCAGTAGCAGTAGCAGTAGCAGTAGCAGTAGCAGTAACAGCAGCAGCAACAGCAACAGCAACAGCAGCAGTAGCAGTAGCAGTAGCAGTAGCAGTAGCAGTAGTAATGATGATGATTATGATAATCATAACAATAATAATAATATAGTGATGATGACGATAACAATAGCAACAACAGTAATTGAAGCAGAAAGAAGCATGTTTAATGGCTGCAATAAATTTTTAAATGTACTATAACATCTAATAATTTCAGTTAGTGAACAATTGTTCCAAAATATTAATGTCGCTATCATTTCCTTATATACACACTTAAAGTCGTTGAAATTTGTCACACACGACTATAAATAAAGTTATGAAAAACCTTCATTCGATTAAAAAGAATATTAAAAAAGAGTGAACGTAAATGCAATTAGATGAAGATATGTGCGAAAAAAGAATACGAGTAAGCAAAAAAAGGTTAGTCGGTAATCGGAAGATCCATACCGATGTAGTTATATCAGGATGCACATCGTTAGCAGTAGCTCGAATTTTTCGTCAGGAAACTTCAGAACATCACAAATCTTCGTGCTACAACACTACCATCCGTCACTATTGAAGATCCATAAAAAGCAATTGACAGAAATAACACCATCGCAGCCCGTTGCCATAAGAAAATATTTTTTTTCGTTGGTAAAACGAGGGAAATATTGTGAAACAGAAAGCGCGCACTCACCTGTCGACGTTCACCACCGCATAACAGGCAGGGTTGGACAAGGGAGTTCTCGTGAAAACGTGGTGGCTACCTTTAATAATCACTGGTACTTTGTTCTACATACGCTTTAACAAGGAATTTACACTGCATCCGCTTGTTACTTCTGTGCTCTATATATTGACAAGCACAGTAAAACCGCGAACCTAAAATGTTGTATCTATGTGCCTAAAACTGACTACAGTTCCAATCTGCTACTTTACTTCTGACAGGTTAAGTGACACTGTTACCAACAGAAGAGTGCATTTATTATTTTTAAATTTATTTATTTAGCAATAAAAGTATATTTTAGTTTTCGAATTGCAATTAATATCCTTTTTATTTATATTTGTTAATATCCCATTAATTTACATTTATTATAAATTAAAAATCCTTAAAATATAAAGTTGTTCAACAATCGTGAGAAATAATAGTTTTTTTTATTTTAAAGTGTGGATATATTGATTATGAAATTAGTGTACAAAAATCGTAATTTATAATTATTAATTACCTTTTCTGTGACATATAACATTTTACATATATTTACGCACTTATGAACATTCATTATGTTAGTAATACATTAAATATAATTTTGATTGATACTGTTACTTAATTACATCTTTAAATAGAATAAATATTTGATAAAAATATGTGTTGTTCGATTTAAAAATAATTTTGAGTAAAGCTTAAAATCGTAAATAAAATTAAATTGTTGCGTAAAATTAAATTAAATTTAATTACGTAATTATATGTGCTTATTGAAAAAAGAAAATTTTTTTTAAAATTTTCCTTAAATATTTTCTTGCTTTCAAAAATTTTTTATAATCACTGTCATATGGATAAAATATATTATAATTAAAGTAAAAATTTCCTTACAGATAAATAAAAGAGAATTAAATTCAAGATTTTATTCCATAATTTAAAAACAAGCATATATTTTGTATATGCACATTGATACAACAAAACATTTTCATTGCAAAGCAATATGTATAATAAATGAAAATAAAAGATTTGAGAAGTTTTCATTTATACATTATATATTTGTATTCTTTCTTATATTTTATTGTACTAGGTAAAAAATTATAGTTTAAATTTTTACTAGAAAATTTGTATTTTGCTTAACTCAGAATGAAAATAACATATACTTATTAATAATTTTAATTATAACAGAAATTATGGTAATATCTTCATGAAAAGCAGAATGGAATGATGTCGAAGAAAATATTTTTATTTCCATAATAAGCTGCAACATAAAATGATTCACGTACTATTTCATGGTATAAAAATAAGTAATATTTTACAGAGAGATATATTCACACTAAAACTTACTTTACAACTGATAATTGAGGCATGCCTGGATCAGCACCCTTTCTAAATCCTATAAAATAAATTAATACGTACTTATAAAAAATAAAAATGCTTATGTAAAAGTGGTTTTAGGAATAAATCCCCAATGAAATATAGTTTTGCTCACATCTAAAACAATTGCAATTTTTTGTTTCATGTTCGGATTCATCGCTACTTTTGTACAATAGTTACGTGTAAAACGTTTAGTCTAATCTTGAATGTGATATAGATGTACGTAATTACTGAATTATTTCAGGTGACCATGAATAACGAATACAGTTTAAGAAGAGCGTATACTTTTCTATTAATACGTATGTTCTTGTTTCCTGACTTCTAGGATCTTCTAGTTGATATGTTAAAAATCACTAAGCCGTATTTCTTTTAAGGCATTAATCGAAGATTAATATTTCGAGTGTTGAAGACAGCCTTTAATTTTTTTACTGATAATATATCTATCTGATTTTATAGTTTATGTTCATGTTTTGATAGCTCACCGTTTGTATAACATGTAAATCATTCCAATCAGTTTTTCAACTTTTATTTTCCTCCATGGTAATTGGAATTATTAATATTTGCTTATGCATATTTACATTTATTATATATTTTATTGAGGAAAGATACTGAGAAAAGATAATTATTGTATATTTTTATTATGTATAAACATGAAATTATATAAAGATTGTAAAATATTTTTCATATTGTTTCAGAGTTCACCACATTATTGTATTTGGGGTTTGTGTGACTCACAACAGTACTGTTGCGGCGACAATGTTTGCTGCAATGAAGCTGATTTTAATTCTTTATTTTTACCGTACGTTCACTATTCTTTTAATCCAATATCATGTATAAATAACATTTTATTAACAAAAATTCATATTAACAGTGCTTTTATTGCTGGGACAATTATAATTATAACACTATGCTGTATTGCTTTTATTATATTAGAAAGAATCGGTACTCCATTCTTAAAGAAATATTTTAAGGTTACTTATACTTTGATGTCCACTGAATTGGAGAATAAAGTAAATACTACAACAAATCAAGAATCAATAATGAAAGGTTGTGTTGTATAAATAGAGAAAACAGAAATTATGTTCTAATAAATATTGATTATACACATATGTTCTATATATTTTTCTTAACCCATTGCGAGCAATAGATAATAATTTAAGAACACGCTGTTACTTAGGTATTAAATTTCTCTCATGTACAATAAAACAATGAATAAATGAATATTATAAACGTGTATGATTCATTAGTAATAGGAATTTTTTTTGCTAACAGATGTTATTTGTAAAAATATGAAATTTTATTTGTTTCAATTACGAATAATCAAATGCATTTTGTGTGATTAAAAATATAAAATAATGTTACACAATCAAAATATATCGAGCAATATTCAATGCAGGTACGCAATCTGTTGTACCTAGTGAGTAGAATCTAGTTTACGTTAATGCATCTACCATAGTTTAGGTTGTTCATACTGGTAACACTGTTTTCGATGACGTCATTGTAAAGTTCCGAAATTGAAATCAATAAGAGGTGTGCAATGTTGTGTGCACATGATAGTCGGAGCGAAATGGTGATTATATCAAAACGATTTGACAGAGTATATTGTTTTTATTTGTTAGGAACGAAGGTATAAATATTGTTCGGGAAGATGGTACGGAACACGAAGAAAAAGCTGGCGATATTCGTTGGAACATCAAAGTGTTTAATATACGTGAGTGTATTTCTTCCGTTTAGCATATTCATTTTTGCTATTGTTTACTCAAAAATGAGAAAAGGAAAGTCACTATCTATATATTACATTTGGAAAGGTATTTTTTATAAAATAGGGGAACAGGTGAATTCAAAACTATCGGATTCGGTGAATTTTGAATTCGCCTGTTCTCCTATTTTATGATAAACGGGTTGGTTTTGTGTCAAAATTAATTTATACGCATGAGAATTTATTTATTCCCATCTTGTAGGCAGTTAACATACATTATAGGTATGTGCACAATTTAAAATGATAACTTCTTTTAGGCAGAAGCAAAGTATTGTGCCTCTGAAATGCCTGGAGAAATAAAATACTATGAGTGAGTTTCATATATGTAAATATGCTTATCTTATATTAGTCAATGTGGGGGGGAGGTTCTTTTTTCTCTTAAATAGTAAGATGATTAATAAAGTTAATATAAAAAGAAAAAACTAAAGAAAAGAAGGAAAGAAAAAAGTGAGAGGGGAGAAGGAACAGGAGGAGAGCAAGGAGAAGGAAAAAGAAGAAAAAGAAGAGGAAGAAGAGGAAGAAAAAGGAGAAGAGGAAGGACGAAAGAAATAGAAAGAAAAGAAGGAAAAGGAAGGAAAGGAAAGGAAAGAAAAGAAGGAAAAAAAGAAAGAAAGAAAGAAAGAAAAGAAAAGACAGAGAGGAAAAAAGAAACAACAAGAACGAACGTGTAATTACATGTGCATTCGTTTTAGGTGTTCTAGAACCGAATATTGTTGCGGTATTGGTTGTTGCGTATCACCTGGACTACATTTTCATCATTTATGGTATTATTGGTGCGCAAAACAGTTTTTAGCATCATTATGATCCGTTTGTTGTTACGTAAAATAAAATTTGATAATTTTCTATTTTGTCATAGGATACTGGTTATAATTATGTTCCTGGTATGCTCTGGTGGTGGCTGGTGGTATCGATATTGGTTACAAGGAAGATACAGGGCAGCTGCGTCGGCTATTCCAACTAGAACGTCCAATTCACGAGCCCAAAATTCACTTCGAGGGCCGACATGTCAAGGTCAGAGGGCTCGTATCACTTACAATTCAGCGAGAAATACTGTTTTGTTGCATCGTATGTGGAAAGGCGAGTGTACACTTGTGGCTGCAATTAATCGCGAGTCATTGAATGTTGATCAATTTATTTATGTCGTTAGGTCCTCAAAGAAACGGAGCGATGCCCACCTACAATGGTAACGCGACTACGTCGACCCATTATCAGAATATGAGCGTTATGTTGAACGATGCGAACTGTCCATACTATCAATTATACGGCCCACCTCCCAGCTACGAAACTGTGATAGCTCAAACACGTGGTAAAGTATCAAATCCGGCATCGCCGGAATTAAATACGCGACCACCAAACGTTGCACCGGGGAATTCAAACGTGTCTCAATGTTTCTCTTATACTTGTAACTTTTCCACGAGATTGAACAACGGCTTGGAACAAAATACGCAATACTCGAATGGCGGTACGAGTTCTCGACAACTTGAAAGTCGAGAAGGTATTCCATTCGCTCATTTTCCTCAGTATTGCACGGTCACAGATGGAACGATTAGGCAAAATGTATGTATTCCTTTCGGGTATCAGGAACAGCAGTTCGTTTCTAGAGATACGTTTAATCGTGTATATCAAGGCAATTCCATGAACTGTGTTCCGTACCCGATAGACAAATCGTCAGACACATCGGATCAAGAAAATCAAAGTTACCAAATGTCAAAGACCGAAAGATACAGAATGTTAAATGTCGATTGTACGGCTGGTAGTAGTAGAGAACAAGCTGTTTGGGAATCGGATAATCGTCCAGTTTCGAAAGTGCACGGTGGTGGTCAAGTAGAAAGGGATACGAGTGAAAGAATGGAGAAAAATGTAGGAGATGAGCGACATAATGATAACGTGCGAAATACATCGGCTATAATGGTGACAGGTTTTCCTTCTTTGCTTAAAGTCGAAGAGAGTCACGTAAACAACTCAAAATCGATGGGGAATCGGTTAGAAAATTTCGATTCGAATTTAACGAAGGGTCGTCGTGTATACGGTGGTTCTTTAAGAGCAACCGGTAGATACGCTGGGAAAGAAAGATACGAAGAATATTCGATTGAAAGGGCTTTCTCGAAAATTTTGCCCCATTCCTGCGATGGACTTATCAACATAGAGTCAACTGTGACATCTGTCGATGTATCTTCTAATGTAAGTTCTATAGAAAACAGAGCTAATGTTAATGCAAATTCTTTTCAATCAAATCCATCCAATAATGTGATATTAGAATGTTTCGTTTCAAACGGCGCGTCCTTCTCAGCAGAGAACATAGAGAAATTCGAACAGTCTCAGTCTCGTCTCGCAAATGTTAGTACAAATTGTGAACTTGAAAGTAAACATAGATTAGACAGATCGAAATCATTGGACTGAATTACTTGGATATTCTACTATCGCGTATTACGCATATAGTGCTTATTCTCGATTCGTTACTGTTCATGCGTATTCGTGTATGATCACTTTACCTCGAAATATTTACTCTATAAAGTTCTCCTGTAATCGATGTAACGAAACGAACGCAATATCGTTTCTTTTTTTTTCTTTTCTTTTTTCTTTTTCTTTTCTTTTTTCTTTTTCTTTTCTTTTTTCTTTTCTAAAGATTCACCTTCAAAATCTATATCCGTGTTATTCGAATTTGAAGAAGGATTGATCCATGGTTTGTCTGTCTTTCAATTTATCCATTAATCTCTTTCTCTTTGACACCTCTCCCTCCCTCCCCCGTTTCTTCATTTTCCTTTTGTTTTGTCTCGTGAAACGAAGAGTCAGCAATGCGTCGAATATTTATACGAATGTACACGGATACATTAGATTCTCGTGCCGAAAATAAGAGGCTCACGGGACCACGTTTGACACACGTTTGACACACGTTTGACACACGTTTGACACACGTTTGACACACGTTTGACATGTCAGTTTGTCTCGATTGTGTATATCGGTTACGGGATAATTTGTTATCTACCAACAGTCGTTACCGCAACATAGTAACGCGTGACTCTATTGGATCTCGTTTTTTATGATACGCGATACTGCCAAAAATTTTCAGTCAATGTCCTGTTCGTTCACTTCAACGATAGCTCCGAGCTGTAATATTAATCGGTTAACGAATATTCGATTATGTCCTTTTTCTCTCCTTTTACGAACGAGCTCAACCAATTCCAATTACGCACAAGGGCGTCACTTGACGCTGTACTTAATCGTCCTACATAAACGTATCGGTATGCCAACAACTATTGGTAGTGCACCTTTTTCTAATCTTCGCACGACGTCGTACTTTACAGGTCACAGAACAGTTTCTAATTCTAATTATTAGGCTATTATAGACTATTTCGTACGTCGTATTTCCGAGAAAGGTATGAATCAACATGGTGTTCGTCGATGCTAAATCGGTTCCGCTTTTCTTTTTTAAACGGAGAGGAACCGTGATATCAACTGAATTTTTCAATTCGGTCGAACACCTTATACGTACATGTATTTGCGTGCTTCTTTAATGCGCACGTTGACACAATTTCGCGAATGTTTAAGGATTTTCAATTGTTATATTTCGAAGCGCAGCAACTCGATATAGGTTCATTACGAATTTTAAGGTACACATACGCTACAAAAGGATTTCACGATTATCGCGCAAGATGAGATGGGAAAAATTCGGAGGGTATGTGTATCCTATATACGTATGCGTTTACGCGTGTGCGTGTGCGTGTCGCGCGTGATGAATGTGTGCGTAAGGAGGAACAGATCCGAGGATAGAGGGAGAAGTAAGGATGGTCGCGACAAGATATCCATATAATCGATGGTACGGAAAGTGGAGAGTCGAGGGAAGTGTGACGAAAATGGCATATTAATCGATGGTTTATGGATCACGATAGAATTGGGAAGACGCAGCAGCAATTTACCGATCATTGTCCTTTTTTTACTTGCTGGCAAATCTGAAAAATCTCGCAAATCGCTATACGCATGTCGCTATTTTATATAGATCAACGCGAATCACGCGAATAAATGACAGTGGTGATGCTAAAAACGAGAGGCAGGTCTAGTGTGGGTAGACGGGACGGTTTAGGCAGGTTTGTACGATGAAAGCTACGCGTCAGAGTTGCAGTTATTTTCGCAGCACGAGTATAGCCGGAAGCAAAAATCGACTTTACGTACCATCACGTTTATAAATTTCCGATTTTAAGTTTTCGATTGTAACAGCGGTCCAAAGAAACAGTGTACGTGCCAATAACGAGTCCGTTAGATAAGGTAACGTTGAATAGAGCGAGTTAGCCGATCTCTTCGCAAAACAGAAATAACATATAAGAATTATACGATATAACGTATAATATATAATTGTATAAGAATTACACACGCGTGTACGCGCGCGCACATAAACGCGCGCGCGCGTGCGTGTACGCGCGGTGCGGCTGAGCGCTTGCATGTGTATATACATACATGCACAATTATTTTTTGTAATCGATACAAATCCTCGAACTGTTTCGAACAGTCCGATCGGGTAAAAATGTTAAGGCATTAAGATATAAGATAATGCGCCGAGTATCATTCCGCGTTACGGGGGTCTCTTCTATAGATTCGAGAAATACTATATTTTGCGTGCGTACATAGCTGCGTATTATAACTCTAACGATCGATAACTAGCCCGAATGAACCTCTCCCACCGTAACGTGCAATCATGTTCGTATTATTAATGTATACTATATGATATATTGTACCTCACGCGAAGGGTTGTCTTTGCTGAAATAAAGACAAAATATTTATTCACACGAGAGACTTTGAAAATGCAGTAATTTGAATGAGATTTAATCAGAAAATGCATTAATCGTCACGCAACCACTCTAGCTGAAATTTCTTCTTTTTTATTTTCTCCTTTATCTCGAGCATCGATGCTCGACATTCGAATGCATTTACACCCGAGACACGATCACCGTTCATAAACGTCTCGTATTTCTTTTCTGCAAGATCGATCCTTTAAATCCGATATCTACGTACATATACCGAACATTTCTATTTATTTATCCTCTGTTTTTTCTGCCTATAACGTATACACGTACTTTTCGCGTCTTCTTCGCAGCTTGAAGGAAGTTATTGTTGTACGGTAACGGTGCGTTACCGATCGCGCAAACGGGAAAATTATTTTCGATCAAAGGTGCGGTGGGGGAGGGGCTGGGGAGGCGTCGGTGGAGCTTGTGTGTGTGTGTGTGTGAAAGAGAGAGAGAGGGGGGGGGGGGGTTGGAGGGAGGGAGCAGGAGAAATAAAATAATAAAATTGGACGAGGAAGAGGGAAAGATGGATATCTCGGATTCAGATACGAGCGTAATAAAGGATTAATCGGGAAAATGATATTGGCGACGAGGACAGAAGGGAGAAGAAAAAGGGTGAGCTATGATGGTAAACGATACGGTTACCGGCACGAAGCGACGGTAAAAGATGGCAGGTGCACTCGGCCCCGGAGGAAATCAATATTAAGAGAAGATTGGTAGAGGGGTTGAGGTACGTCGAAGCATCCCCATAAGAGAGAGTCACGGAAAGTTAGGAACGCCGATATAGCGGCCGAGCCGGGGTAAACGGTGGAAAATGTCATAGGTGCCAGGACGGAACAGTTTCGAACAAAATCTCTCTTCTCTTTCATTTTCTCTCCATTTTTCTTTCTTCGTCGTTCCGTCGTTGCTTCACCACGTAACTACACCACGTTCGAAAACTCTTTCGACGTCGAAGCTTGGATTCGCTCTACGGTACAGTGAATTGATGAATTGTAAGTGATAGTGCGCGGTGATTACACGATCGTGCGGGACAAGATGTCGGTGAAGGTGAGTGAAACGTATCGAAAATACAGGCGGTAAAACGTATTGTTCCGTGCGAGATGGACGATTCAGGTTCGATTCCATCTTTGAGGTTTTCATTCCCCGGCTCTCTTAGTTACATACTTACATAACAGATGTTCGCACATGGAAGATTCGTCGATTCGGTTCGGTTCGGTTCGTTTCTGTCACGAATTACGTGCATACGTACGTATGTCTCTTAGTTTCGAATTTCACAGAACATTGATGATACTTCTTTTACAATATTATCGTCTACAGTCGTCTTTTCCCTACTCGACCATTGTAATCGACGATCGTGATGGACGATCGTGATAAAAGAACAATCGACGTTTCAACGATTATACGCGTGATCTGTTTCGTGGAGAAGCGGTTTTGTCGATTAAATAGCCACTTAGCCAGGCTTATTGTTAGTATAGATATACAGCATATAGATAGAGTGTTAGAAGAGAAATTCGTTAGCTGCGAATTCGCGAGACGCGAATATCGCGAACGCGATGGAACACGACGCGCGAGACAGAAAGTATTCTAATCGTATTAACGAGGCTACAAGTGTCCGTTTCCTGTTAGGAGGTCAAAGACGAAACAAGCAACTCGATCGTAGACGCGTGCGCGCGCTTCAGATCCTCGTGTTTCTACGCGTGCAATTGCCGCGTGCAAACAGCTTCCAGTTTCGACACGGCCGTTCGTCATCGTGTTTCTTCCTTCAAAGTTATCATCGTTATTCTGTCCTCGTGAACTTGATTCCTTTGCATTTTGTTCCTTCGATTTCTCGCCTTTCGTTCTATTATATAGGAGAATATTATACATCCGAACGGTCAACCGATTAAGCCGATTATTCGCATACGAATATCTAACGTGATAACGAACTTGGATTAACTTTCCAATCCGCTAATTTATCTCGATATTCGAGAGGAAAGTCAATTTTTCCCGATCGAAAAATTCTTCTTCACCTTGTTGTAATAATGTCGTAATCGCGAGCGTAATCGTTGGAATTTTGGTGCAATTCGAGGATTGTAATTACCGGTGGAAACGTTATTACCACTTTCGTTTATCATTTTCGTTCGTAGTTAATAATAATAATCATAAGAATAAAAATCATGTTCGCATGGCCATTTCAGCATGACTACTTCCTCTACTACGATTACCGACATCAATTATGTTATTTGTTCAATTTCAAAGACGGATGAGGAATCCAGGTATTTGTTACGGCGTAAAGTTCATTCGGCGGTAGGTATTTTTAGTTGGATTCGACAAAACCTATCGTTACGAGTAATATCGTCACTTCATTGTTTCCAACTACATACAATATGTACCACGCGCGAATTCCTCTCGTTCAATTTCCACGTAGTATCGTTTCATTCCAGACATTCGTCAATTTAACGCTTTCTTTTATCTTCGAGGTAACTATTTCGTTTGAAATCATTCGTTTCGCGCCTTCGCGGTATGTCTATTCGCGATAATACTACGTGGAAATGCGTACGAATGTCGTGGTACGACGATCTTTTAACCCGTTTGTCGCTTTGCCTTAGATGAAGATGTACAAGCAGGCCGAGTTCGAGGACGAGGATACCAGCAGCATCGGCTCCGTAGCTTTGAACAGCGAGGGTATCAGCACGTCAGCGATGCACATAAGATATAATTCGGTTAGTTGCTAGAACAGAGCGAAGAAATTTCGATCGCCGAGTAACGCACGACTCCAACATTCTGTCGCGTTAAAGTTTGCAAGTCCGAGTAGCGACATATCGGCGCTTGTTAACCTCGCGTTTCTTTTCCTCTTTTTCTACTTATATATTTACACGGATATGTATTTCGTGCATAGGGAATCTCATTATGGAGAGCAAGAACTGCGCTCGAGAGATGTCTCTTTATCGTTTGCGCGGGCCTCTTATTGATGGTCGCGATGCTATCGGTAGTGGTGAGCAGCAAGAACGGTTGGGACGAAGCTCAAATACTTCACGTCACTTCGCACGGAGAAGGTAAGAGATGCCAAGATTTTTATTTTTAATTTTATTTTAAACGAACCGAACGAAAGATGAATCCTCACGGATCCGTCGAATTGCTCGATTTTCCTTCAGATGGTACACACTGCTTAACCGAGCATTGCGTTACGGTTGCCGCATCCATCATAAACAGCATAGATCGCACGGTCGATCCGTGCGAGGATTTTTACGAATACGCGTGCGGTGGTTGGATCAAGAAGAATCCTATACCGGATGGAAACAGCATGTGGGGGACATTCGACAAGTTCGAGCAAGACAATCAGTTGGTGGTGAAAAGCGTTCTTGGTAAATTTTCTTCTCGTAAATCTTTCCTGTAGAACGCACAGTGTCCGCTTTTTTCTCTTTGCCTTTTCCCTTCTCTCCGTTAATCGCATAATCGCTAAAATTAGGACCAACCGACCTAATACTCGCTCTACTTCGCCTTTCTTTCACCCACTCTTTTTCTTCTTCTTCTCCCCTTTTTCTCTTTCTTCTTCTATGCAGAAAAACCGTTCAACGAAATGAGATCAAAGGCCGAGAAGAAAGCAAAGTATTACTTTCTCTCCTGTATGGATGCGAACAATACGATCGAAACACTTGGCGCGAAACCGATGCTGGACTTGTTGGATACCATCGGTGGCTGGAACATTTCTGGCAAGTTCAATCTAAGCACGTGGTCCTTGCAGAACAGTATGCATACTCTGCAAAATGTATACAACATGTACGGTTTATTTGCGTGGGCGGTAAACGAAGATGATCGAAATAGTACCAGGCATATTATACAAGTAAGAAACGAAGCTGGATCTATCGAAAGTCAAGCAAACATTTCATTCTACGAATAATATCGTTCCTTAACGAAATGGTTTAAATTCAAAGATTGATCAAGGAGGTTTAACGCTGCCAACCACCGACAATTATCTCAACGTCACCGAACACGGCAAAGTATTGGTCGCTTATTTGGAATACATGACGAAGGTACAGCGGCAATGATTATGGTTTTCTTTATTTCCATTTCCTTCTCATCCGGCATTTTGTAATTTTGTAACCGGTGAATCGAGTACAGGTACTCGTACACATTTGCAGATCGGTGTGCTGTTAGGTGGAGAAAAGAATTCGACGAGGAAGCAGATGCAAGACGTGATAGAGTTTGAAACAAAATTGGCTCGCATCATGACACCACAGGATAAACGCCTCGACAAAGAGAAACTTTATAACGCGATGTCGTTGGATGTTCTTCAACGTCAAGCGCCTTTCGTAAGTAAAATTTCGTTCCTTTCGTAATACCTTCCACCATTCTGTCATCGTTCTACCATCCTTCTACCATCCTTCTACCATCCTTCTACCATCCTTCTACCACGATTCCGTGATTCTGCCACGTTTCTCTCTGCTTCTAACGTGTTCGCAGCTTCGATAGATACCATTCTATAAATGTTCGGTTAATTTTAGATGTCCTGGGTACACTATTTTCAAAATGTGACCAGCCTCGTTAACAAGGAAATCAACGACAAGACAGTGATCGTGAATTTTGCTCCGGAATATTTCGTCAAATTGTCCGAGCTTGTATTAGAGTATAACAAAACGAACGAAGGGAAAGTGTAAGTTTTCTATCGTAATCCCGTGTCTGTGTGTGCGTGTACGTGTAAATGTTCCGATCCCTATCATCCTAAGTATCCTGTTCTTGTCTACTTTACTTTCTGCCCTTTATCCTTTTCTTCTTTTTACTTTTTCTCTTTCTCTTTCTCTTTTCTTTCGAACAGGATACTGAATAATTATCTGGTCTGGCAAACCGTGAGATCTCTAACCGCCTGCTTGTCGGAACCGTTTCGCGACGCTTACAAGGGACTGAGAAAAGCTTTGATCGGTTCTGAAGGCCGCGAGGAGCAATGGCGTTATTGCGTCAGCGATACACATAACGCGATGGGTTTTGCGGTCGGTGTGATGTTCGTTAGAGAAGTTTTCCATGGAAAAAGCAAACCCATGGTTAATTTATATTTAGTATCTTTCAATAATTACATCTTAGGAGCATGTTGACGCGATATCGACTTTAAGCGGTGATCTAATCGATTCTAGGCGGAAAAGATGATCGACCAAGTACGTAAAGCTTTTATCAAAAATCTAAAAAATCTCGATTGGATGGATGCGGAAACGAGGAAAGCGGCTGAAGAGAAAGTGAACGCGATCACCGACATGATCGGCTTTCCCAATTTTATTTTAAACCCGGCCAAACTCGACGAACGTTACAAGGATTTAACCATCAAACAAAATGAATACTTTCAAAATAATATACGAGTGAATAAATATAATTTGCGAAAGAATTTGGAGAAACTCGATCTGCCCGTGAACAAGACTACTTGGGTAGTGGCACCGCCAGTTGTCAATGCTTACTACTGGCCTACGAAAAATCAAATGGTTTTCCCCGCCGGCATCTTGCAGAGTCCGTTCTACGATATGGAAAATCCGAAAAGCTTGAACTTTGGCGGTATAGGAGTTGTCATGGGGCACGAATTGACTCACGCATTCGACGATCAAGGTACGACGTGCTCATTTTCATTCGCTTTCACTCGAGTCGAATAATTGTTCGTTTCACGATTCTTAGGAAGAGAGTACGATTTACACGGCAACTTGAATCAATGGTGGAACAACGCTACAACCGAGAGGTTCAAAAATAGAACAGAGTGTTTCGTGAAACAATACAACAACTTCGAGGTACATGGCCGACACGTGAACGGACGGCAAACTTTGGGTCAGTTGCATTAACCGTATCAATTGCGCGTAGCCATATCGCAATGTACATGTCGAACATGTCGATACCGTTTGATAACAATATATATATATACATACATATATTACGTCGATGGATCTTCTTGTAGGGGAAAATATTGCAGATAACGGTGGTCTCAAAGCAGCTTATCACGCTTATCTTTCAGCGCAGAAGAGCTATAAAGATCAACTACCCTTGCCTGGTCTTAATTTGACGCATCGACAACTGTTTTTCTTGAATTTTGCCCAGGTAAATACTCGATACGAGAACAGTTTGATTTATTAAGAATCGTCTTTGATATCGTACCTATATCCCCGCGAAGGGGAAGAGGAAGAGTTTTATTCGAAACTGATTGCTTTGTTACCAGGTTTGGTGTTCTGCTATAATGTCCGAAGCCATAGCCCTCGAAATCGAGAAAGATTCTCATTCTCCACCAAAGTATAGAGTGATAGGACCGCTCTTGAATCTACCAGAGTTCGCTTCGGAGTTCAACTGTCCAGAAGGCTCGCGAATGAATCCCATCCATAAATGTGAAGTGTGGTAATGCGTCGTTTCTTTGAATTATTCGTATCAGTGCGGAATTTGTATCGTTTTAATTCCATTGCCGGTAATAACGCCCAACGAGTCGTTGTAAAACGTTGCAAAATGCTTCCGCTTCTATCCTTAGAGCTAGTGTCTCTTCCTTCGACGTTTTACTTTCTATTCGAAGATATCCGTCACATGTACTACGTCACGGATTTCCATGAATCATCGTGCATTTGTAACGTCGAGAACATTCAACGAACGTGAAAAACAAAACGTCGAAGAAGTTAGAAGCGACAAGCGCAATAAATTCCGTTGTTACGGCGTGATTTTATGCGATATGAGAAACGTTCAATCGTCCATTTGCTAATTTCTATCGCTGATTTATTCGAAAACGTCGGAATCACAGCGAGTCGAATTTAAAGGTTCAAATACATTTTCAGCAAAAACGTGAAAAGGCAAGTAGGTAATTTTGTTACTTTCGCATCGCTCTGAAACTTCGTAATTCGGATAAATCAAACATCGAGCGAAAGGTCAACCTGTGCACGTTTAATGTATCGATTTTTTCGTTTGAACAATCGATCGTGTCAGTTCTTACATAAATTGAATTAAGAAAACGCTAGGACCACTATACGAATCGTCAAACTTTCTTACACGATTATTCGAGCGCATTACAGCGTACCAATGTTTCTCAATAATAGATACATTCACTGTGGTTCATCGCGATCACTAGAGACAATTAAAATCCATTTTATCGATCGATCGACCGACCGACCGACCGACCGACCGACCGACCGACCGACCGACCGACCGACCGACCGACTGACCCACGTTTTACCGTAAGCGAAACCGCTCACCTCTCCTACGCGATAAGTGATTTTTCACTTTTATACTTGAAATCAGTATTATTCGATCGAATCCTATAATTCGAGTTATTACAGTGTATTACGATTATTACGATGTTACTCGCTGCATACATTACACTCTTGATAAGCTTATAAATGTATCTGCAAAACAACGCGTATAAAGGTATATCGCGTTGAAACTGGCTTTAATTGAGTTGCCAATTGATTTCGCCAGTAAGTAAATAATTTCCATGCAATCGTCACTACGTTGTTTTTACAAACGATAACTAGCAGTTGAACACCAATTTTCAAAAGCGAAGGGATATTAAAGGAGAAAAAGAATTAAGATTAAGATATTACGGTTTCGAATAAAAAAGAAAAGAGCAGAAAAGAAGATAAAAAACAATTCTCACCGATCTCGATGAGCCATGGCGACTACAAGCGGCATATTGCTGTAATTTCTGCAGGCAGGAAGTTAAGCTCTAGCATTAAGCTTAAGAAATTTAATTTTCTAAACAAAGCGTTTAAAAACCATGTGCTATATATTGTAGTTATACATAGGGTGGAACCAATACATTGAGCCACTGAATAATTAAACGTGCTGCTACGAACGTTCGAATAAATATTTCTAAATCCGTTTAAACATTTTGTCGTATGAAGCTCGATAACGAACGAATCACGAACGAACGCATTTAAATGTTAGCAAGTGTATGAATGATAGTGTCTATATGATATAGATTCGAACTAATTTATCCAATTCGTTTTTCGTTCTTCCTTCCAGTCACTATCAGGCGAACGTTCGTAGCTGATGAAAGAAAAACAATAGTCGAAGAAAATGTTATATATTTGGTGCTCGACGAATTTTCTCTGTCTTTGTTCCATGTCGTATAAATACGCAAACTCGACGACAGTTGCCTGTTGTTGTCTTTTGTGTATATACTTTATAAAGGAATGCGACAAATGTCGACAATTTCGTGCGTCATACGAGAAATCTTTAGAAACCGACACTAATAATATTACCAGCGCATTAACATTGCATACATGTTCGGAATCATGTTCATTTCTTAATGACGCACGTATAAATCAAATAAAGGACAAATTAAATAACATCACGAAGATTTTATTCATCGCAGGAAAAAAGAATGAATTATAACAGATTTATGTCGTTTTTATTTCCTTACATTCTCCTTCACCGTCCCAGTTCGATAATTGCATTGTAGTCAAAGTTTAATCGCAGTTTAATCGAAGCTTAATCGGAGTTTGGTAAGGGAAAAAAATATTCACGAGCTTCGCATTCATTGGATAATCATTCTTTTTCAAAACCTTTAAAAATGTCAGTTGGCCACGGTAGCATAGAGATAGCGATGAAATCGCTCAAAAAATTGAAGGATGATAAAAACACAACAGTCGTTTACTAGACATTTATCGAGAATCTATGTTTCAGTTCGACGTAAAAATTATAGTAACTGTCATTGTTTTTACATTCTTTTACCACTTGACCGTTTAACGTTTCATCCTATTCAATATACGTACCGTGGCATTTCGATATATCGTAATTATATCGGTATTATATCGTAATTAATATTCGCTAAACGATTCTTTCTCGCATAGACTAGTTTGAAGGGGAAAATTTTTGCGTTTATGATCAGATAACTCGTAAGCGTTATCGATAAAATTCCCGTGACCGTAGTAAACGTTCGACGCAGGACAAAACGTAGGATAGAGCAATCAAATCAAAGCCACCAGCAGTTTCATATATTTTGACAAACTGTATCAATATGTTCTGCTTGTAAACGACACGTCGAGCAAATTAAAAGACACCGAGGAAGATTAATTGTGAGGTACTTTGCAATTTACCTGTACCACTGTTTCAAATATCCAGCTATGGCAGTAGCAGCTGTAGAAGATGAGGATTCAGAAATTCGCGAACACTACTCTTGTAAAAATTTACGGTATCCCGTGAGTTAATCGGATATGCCTACCTATCTACTTAGGACAACGTGAACGATAACAACAACGAGCATACGTACGTCGTACATCCGGATGAATAATATATGACGCTTTATTCAATATCCGATATCCATCGTGGGTTTACTCACGCTCGATAAGAATGAAATGGAAAAGAAATAAAATCAAAATATATACCTCAGTATATTAATCGTAAACGTTTTAGAAGAGAATTGCAATAGGGGTATAGTAAGCATAATAGCCGAAAGTGTGGAAATAAATCAGCGGTGGCCAGCAGTAGTGCGTGAGCCTGACCATTCATCACCGTCTAGCTGGTCGACGGTCTTGCTGCTTTCCGGTAAATCGTTCTGCATTTTCGACGAAGAAACGCCTTTATTACGGTGCACGCACCAGCCCCCCCACTATTTTCCTTCCCTTCTACCAATCCCTTTTTCCCGTGATACTATACTTATACCTGTCTAGACAAATGAATCATACGAGTATTTTGACCCACCGGCGTGTAGGTGGTACATGGAAAATTGGTCAGATTCTTCGTACGGTCTTACAACGCGTATACTACACCCTACATCGTTCGCGTAGTTGCTATGAAATTCAAATTAATTCGAGTCGACGTTCCAAAACTGCCAATAAATAAAAATAAAACAAAAAACAGAGATATCGTTACGCGTGTGATGTTTGAAATCTTTTTCCAGTTATGAATCAAGTATGCGAGCGTAATCGAACAAAATGATCGAAAGAGATTTATTATCGTTATATTTATGATAAGTGAGCGTTTTACGTAACTCGATTAAAATGTTCGCGAAGAAAGCAAATGCGCAAGGGTGCGATTAAAAAGGAGTAGAATTGAAAATCATTTAGAGTAGAATTGGGCTGCATTTAATTTGTAGCAATTACGAGAAGTTGGCAAACTTTTTCGTTATTCAGGGTGGGATAGTTTCGAGGAAACGGTGGGTCACCGCGTATCATCAATCTTCCCTAAAACAGCGATCATATCGTGCTATGCTATCGTGTGGGTGGTGCGCAATGGAAGACGTTTGCGCGCTTTCTTCGATCGATGGGACGCATCGATGATCATCGCCGGTAGATCGAATTCGAACGCGAATCACGATGATGGTGAAAATTTTCTCGAACAGATCGAAGTTTGATGCACGAATCGTTGGTAAGTTGGTAAGCAATGCATATCGCGGTTAGATAATTTCTACCTCCAACGTAATTACGAATGTCACGGTCAGCTATTCTCTTGAAACGTTGCTTTCCAACAGCTGCGTTTTTCTCCATATTCTATGCTTTCTTTCGTACCTATTTATAGGTCGGAATAAATAAAACGTACAACCATGTTATTTCATCCTCCATTCATCCACCGCACAGATACTCGTTGGTCGTCAAATAATTTCTGGTAATATGGATCTGGTAATATTCGAAATCGCGTGCGTATTATCTCAATCTCGAAGAGAAGCGTTTATCTGTAAATAAATATTTGTCTGGAAAAATGCGTAACGTAAATGTGAAAACGATTGACAAGTTGCCGCCTATCGGGGTAGCAACAACGAGAGGGGCTTAGGATGGAGGAGGGAAGAAAAATTTCCAAAAGTAGCTCGTTAGCGCGATATAATCAGTGAGAAAAAAGCGAAGAAGCAGGGTCCATTTTTTCGAGCCACCTGCTGTTTTTGGTGCCGTTGGTGCAAATGTAGCTGCAATAGCAGCGTAGCAACCCTCGATCGGTACTCATGATGACGGACGACAGCAGCTACGCGTGGGGTAATAGGAAACACGTGCACCACGATGCTTTTACGCGCGTTTGAATACCCACTTCTATTCTACCTTTTTACCACGTTCCCGCTCGACATTCGACTAAAAATCACGTCTAATTAAAGTTCAACTCGACTACGTATACCGCGCCTCCGCGTATAATGCACGAGACTCACGCGTATCTCGAAAATACGGAAAGAAACAAAAATTCAAAGAAAGCAAAAGAAATATTCGCGTGACACGAGAAACCAGTAAGAAACTCGATTCGTCGAAATTTACAAACTATCGATCAAATATGTCGATCGTGATTTTGCATCTTGCTTTCTAGAATCAAATGCATAAGTCATGGGTTAAAAATAACCGATTTCGCTGTTTTGTAATGTATCACGTAATACATTTTATACGAGCCTGCGATGTTCGATACGACGAAGAATTTGAATCGTTTTGAAAGTCGATTTGGATTTTAAATGGAAAAAAAAAAAAACGAATCGTTCTCCCTTAACTCCGCCTCCATCTCTCTCTCGCTTTACCTTTCCTTCACTCTAGTTGTTTTCTTTTTCCTTTCCGCTGTCGTATCTGACCCATCGGTTGACCAGTTTGCACGACAGACACCCTCGATTTTGACGACATTAAAATTCCACCTCTTTTTCAACGCGATTGTTTGAACATTGAGAACCTCGCAACGCGTAAAACCACGATAGAATTTTAAATTTCTTTTCATGCTGAATACGTCGCATAGCGACAAATCCGTTTCCACGAATATGTTATTTTGAAATTTCGCTACTTTATTTCTTATTCGCGTCTCGAAGAAAAGACGCAAAGGTATAAAGAAAGTAGAGTGGCTTTCGCGAGACGTATAACTTTCGAAAAGCAACGATAAGGACAAATCTCATAAACGAAATAACGACGATCGAAAGTATCGGATCGTCGGATGTTGATTGGCAAAACGATATATGAAGATGCAGAGAAGGTTAAAAGTAGAGCGAGAAAAAGAAGATTGCAGGAGAAAGAGACGCAATGGATCGCTGACGAAGCGAGGTGAATATTTGGATTAAAGGGTTTGACAGAGAAGGGACGCGTGACAAAAGGTGCAACGAAACGCTACTAGGGGTAGAGATACGTTAAAGTGGGTGTAGGAACGAAGCAACAAAGGAGGCAAAATTGGCAGCAAAGAGGAGTAGTAACAGGAGAAGAACGAGTGGCGATAGAGTTGACGATGACGATGAAAAGGGGAGAGGTTGTTAGTGGCGGCAGTTGCAGCGGTGATAGCGACGATGACGATGGCGGTGGTGATGGCGGTGGTGATGGCGATGGCGGTGGCGGTAGCGATGGTGGTTGGCAGCGACGGTGGCGGTAGCGGCAATGGAAACGGCGGTCGTAATGATAGTAAGATGAAAATGGTGATGGCGATGGCGTCAACAGCAGCGTTCACGATAATGTTGATGGTGGTGGTGGTAGCGATAGAGGTGGCGGGGGTAGTTACGGAGGTGGTGGAGGTGGCGGAGGCGGTGGAGGAGATGAAGGTGGCGGAAGTGGCGGAGGTGGTCGAGGTGGTGGAGGTGCTGGAGGTGCTGGAGGTGGCGGAGGTGGCGGGGGTGGTGGTAGTGGCGAAGGAGAAAGAGAAAGAGGAGATAGGGACTACTATATGGCAGCGGGTGCATGTTTGGCTTGTACATGCGAATACGTAAGATACTATAGAAGAGAAAAGGTGCCGTTCGTGCACGAGATGGAAAGAGACGGTAAGTGAGAGTAAAGGGTAGAAAGAGAAAAGAAGAAAGGAGAAGAGGAGGAGGAGAAGGAGGTGGAGGAGGAGGAGGAGGAGGAGAAGGAGG